TTGTGGGGCAAGCACTGCCCAGCTGGGGTGGGCGTGGGATGGAACTGCAGCCCATTTGGGGGAAATGGGGTGGGGGGACGGCTCCTGCCACTGCACACCACTTATCCAGGAGGGTATGGGGAGGCATGTTCCCCTTGATTAGTGCAGGGCGGGGTGGGGTGGGTTTTGAAATACTTGTAATTTTTTAAAGATTTGCAACAAGATCTAAGCAATCATTCATGGGAACAAAATTTGCCTGTGAAAATGCCCAGTAGCCCTATCCTGAAAACTATGTACAAAACTTCTTTTGACTTACAGCGCTACCCAGACAGGCCCAGCAGGGTCAGATCTCAAAGTTGTTGAGTCAAGTATAGATGTACCTCTGCCTGCAAATTCTGCCAGATACCTTGTCACAAGGACACAAAAAGGAAGGAAAAGAACTTCTGTCCTATTTCATGCAAAAATCCTACAAAAGATACCCATTTCTGAATGACAGAGGCCTGTAGCAATCGGAGAAATGCATATCTTTAAGAATGATACTGATTTCATAAGATGTCTGTGTTTATGTCTTTCAGCCACCGGCCTAACATGCAGTTATGTCAGACACACCTGCAAGCTTAAGCCCCCTGCATTCTTCCTTTCATGAGTCCATGAAAGAAAAATTGTCAAAGTTATGCAAACACGATAAAGCTAAGCTACTTAATGGTGTCCTTAAAATGTTTTCTTATAGACCTATAGTAAGATTTGGTAAAGAAAATCACCCATGAATACTTAACTGAATAACTTTACAACCTGAATTTAACTCAGACCACAACATCAGGCAATTTCTTCCCTGTTCCCTAAACATGTTGGTTCATGTTCCATGATTTAGCTTTCTTTTTTCTCTATTAATCCTGCAGGCATTTTATTAACACTGTCAAAAGAGATTAAGCAATGGAATGACTCCATCAACTCCCAAAGCAGTCATGGAAAAGCATCTCAGTCAGGTTTCTAATCAATACACAAGAAAGGTACTTTGACTTTTTCATAAGAAGAGTGCAGCTTGCCAGAATAAACTCCTGGTCTAAAAGCAAATCCCCTTAGGGAAGCAGCTCCAATGTTTTTCCATACACCTGAAAACTTTCTACAAAAGAAAATCCAGAGCTGTGGCAAAATGGATGGAAAATTTAAATCTATATAACGCTCTCTTCTGAAAGCAACTGCCCCCCCCCCGGAAATCTCCAAAGGAACCTAGTCCAAATGCAATAATAAGCACTCAACATAGAAGAACTAACCACAGTTCATTAAGAAAGAGGATAAAGGAAATGGAGGGGGAAGCTTGCCAGGGGAAATGCATGAGGCTGCGGAAATGTATTGCTGATATCTTTTATTTATTTAGGACATATAGTAATAAACATTGCAAAGGAAGCTCTAAAAGTTATTTTTTATATTCAGACAGACACACCAGACCTCACTACTGTCTGCCTTCCACCCTGGATATATATTTAAATAGCTCCAGTACAATAAATCAGAGGGTTTCCTTTGTTATTATATGTGTCAGCTGGTGAAATAAACTGCTTGATTTCTTTCTTCTTTTTCTTCTCAAAAATGTTTATTTGGAAGGTGTAGATGTCATCAGTACTGACCTACTGGGTAATTTATTTTTTTAATCTTCAAAAAATACAGGAGGAAGGTGGGGTAAAGGGATGGGGTGGGGTGGGGTGGGATGAGGGGTGCGATTATATCCCTGCAAAAAATAAGACAGATTGTTTGTTACCAATTTATTGGGGAAAATACCATCCACTGGCAGGCTAAAAATACTCAGTTTTAATTATTTACTTCTTTATACTATCATTATTTCGCAGAGACATGATTGTTAAAGAAGAGAATACTAAACAACCAGCATGTCCATAAGAAGTTAGAGAAATTAACCAAAATATCACTCATCTCCATGTTCAAACTGCTCCTTGAAAATTCCCACACCACAGGCTTCTTTTGCTGCTGCCAACCATGCTCCCAACTACCTCTGTATCAGGAAAAAGCTTTCATTGCTGTGGTTCTACTGAACTGGACCAATTTTAATTGAAATGAAAGCTTACAGCAAAGTGGCTTCCTGTCATAACAATTGAGCCAGCATCCTTCTCAGAATCCAGGCACTGCGCTGGTACCCATTATAAACAGATATGAATGATTTCTAGACAATAGGAAGCATGTAAGCAAGGGACTGAAAATTATACAGCTTGGAAAGATGGTCTGAAAGGTATGGAAGCACTGGTTATATGCTGAAGATTAACACCTGACACTGCTCACCGAAAAGAACTTGAGACACAAACTTTGAGTGTTTATAATTGTTAAATGATAATTTAGTTCTTAGAATTAAGGATGAAAACACAAAGATCTGCAGGAAAAAAAAATCAGAAATTCAAAGACGCTTCTCTTGCACTGGATGTCCATGGTTTCAAGAACTTGCTAACAGGCAGAGCACAGAGATGCCACAGCACATTCAGGGCAAGGGGAAGAACCATCTTTGCTCTTCACAACCTTGGAATTCTCCTTCTAGAGAGAATTTTCAGCTGACCAAGTAGCAGCTTTTCAACTCCTTTCCACTTCCACAATGATCAAAAAAGGTCAAAATGGAAAATTGGGCTTGCAAACTATTTTTCAAACTCAAAATACTCTTGATACTATTTTAACAGCATGACAAGTGAAAGCATGGACACCTGGTGCCACCTTAGTTGGGGGGGGGGGCACATGCCCCACCTGTAACCAGTCCCCCATGGTTACTTCCAGGGGGAGTTACCTCATAGCCAATAGCTGCAGCAGCTTCCAGGAGTGCCTGCGGCTGCTTCTGGGAGTGGCTGCAGCAATCTGCTTGCGCTTGCAGGAGGGGCACTGGCGTTCCTGCCTGCCCCCCCGCCCATCGCCTAAGTGGCGAGTGCGGTCAGTCAGGAGGTGCACTGGCTGACTCAGAGGATGCACATGCACCCCTATGCATCGCCACTCAGTGAAAGAAAAGAAGCCTCAAAGGCCACATCCAGATGAGTGTGGACATTTGGTTCCCTGGGGAAAAGAAGCAGTGGCACACCTCGTGTGTACCATTGCTTGCCCCCAGGGAAAACCTGTGCCATGCATGCTCTGGTCATGCAGCAGGTTACCCCAGGTGGGGTAGGGGAGGCTAGGGCCTTACCTAGGGTCCTGGGGGTACTGCAGCCACAGCACTCCTGCAGCTAGGAACCCGGCTAGCAGCTGGAGCTTGGTTCTGACTGGTTTTGGGCAGTGTGTGCTGCTGCCATGTGCACCACCTTACTTTTTTTCCAAGTGGGTTTTTTTGACCCCAGGATCTTGGTGGGGATTTTGATGGGTCTGTGGCACCACATACTGCACAGCCACACTCATCTGGACTCAGCCACAGACTGCAAAGACCTGCATACTGTCTGCATTACCCTTAGCAAAATCTTTTACCCTTTCCCTCAGGCAAGCGGAGCCAACTTTTCCTACAATCCTGTGGTCCTAAAGTGATTAGTAAATCCCACAGTTGAGAACCCCTCACTGCAAATGTCCTGCCTGCAACCATCCCTCAAGTAACCCAGGTTCACACAGGGTCTGGGGCTGGTCTCAACTCTGGCAGCACAATGCAGGGAGAGAAGGAACCCCAGGTGAACTAGTCCAGCCCCATCAAAGCTTTACAGGTTAAAACTAGCATGTCACATTATTCACCGTGTGGGCGCAGGTACAGGCTGTGGCTAGGAGATCTAAGGGAGCAGACTGCTGGAGATGTGTACAGTGGACAAGGTGTACAGTGGACGTATACAGTGGGCATGTACGGTAGATGTGTATGGTAGACATGTACAGTGGACAAGGTGTAGGATGGACACGTATGGTGGACGCATACAGTGAACATGTACAGTGGACGAGTATGAGGGATGTGGACAACACATACAATGGACGAGTGGAGTGGACAATGTGTACCGTGGATGCACGTCGTGAACAAGGACTTTTCTCAGAAGCGCTGCACAGCTCTCCGGCCACGCCTGCCCGCCACGTTAACAGCTTGGGAGACCACGTGTGCTAGCACCCTGAGGTGACTCCCAGGAATACGACAGCATCCTTCCCTGGGAGCTGCACCCGGCAACAGCCAGGCCATGAGCGCCACGCGCGCAACCTTTGAGGCGCCAGGAGCTCCGGGCCGAGCCACACAAGACTCACACTACTTCCTGTTCCCAGCCCTGGGGCAACTGAACAGAGGGCCCCGCCCCTGAGGTCACTCGGGGGAGGAGCCCGGGGCGATCTCAAGGCGGCAGAGGAGGGGGGTCTCCGTTCGAACCCAATGGAACCCTTTCCCGCCCTTGGCTTGGCGAACCCCATCCCCCCCGTTGGCGTGAGCAGCTTGGTATCGCCCAAGCCCCTCCTCCCTTCTACTATCCCATGTGCCCATGGTCTCCCCGCCCACTGTTGGCGTGATTCCGCCCCCTGCTGCGCGCGCAGGCCCCGCCAGCCGGTGGCTGCCTCCCACAGCGGGCCCCGCCCCCCGCCGTGGTCTTTTCCCCCCTTCCCCTTCCCGAGCGGTCTGTTCGGTGCCGGGTCGGCTCCCAAGATGGCGTCTATCATGGAGGGGCCGCTGAGTAAGTGGACCAACGTGATGAAGGGCTGGCAGTACCGCTGGTTCGTGCTGGACTACAACGCGGGGCTGCTCTCCTACTACACGGTGAGGGGCCGGGAGCCCGTTGGGGGGCGGTGGCGGCGGCTGCCTAAACACCGCGAGGCCAATGAGGAGGGAGGAGTGGTGGGGGCAGCCAATGGGGAGCG